CCGTGTCCGGCAACGGATCGCAACCCTCAGTGTTGCCCCCGTACCGGACCGGGGACCGGCAACGGGATTGCAAGCCTCGGTGTTGCTCCCGCGCCTCACTCAGCCAGTGAGCGCCTCACTCAGCCAGTGAGCGGGAGCCGGTCCGTATGTGGGATCCGAACCCTCGGACGGGAGCGCAGCTGCGCTTCCCAAGCAGCGCACTATCCAGTGCGCCACCGGGCCGGCCCTAAAAATTCACTTTTGAAGAGGATTCTTACTTCTGTGTGGCACTATTTTTCTCCACTCTGACTGGAAACAAGACTGGAAGGAGCTCACAAGGCCTCCCTGTGCTTTGCTGTGTTAGGAATAAATTTGAGGAGCCATGGAGAGGAAAGAATGTAGCACTCGATCACTGTCTTTTTCAGTTCTTCCGTCAAGATCAATAACAAAATTCCTCCTTCCCCAGCCCTGCCTCTAGTCTCAACAGTAACCCCTGGGAGCAAGTAATTCAGCTGGTCTTTGCCCATTGCCTCATATCCTGGACTGTTCTTTTCTTCAGAACCAGGAGTAAGACCTTGGCAGAGAACAAACAGAAGGGCCCAGCTCCTGCTGTGTTTACTGAATAACACAAAGATTAACCCTTCCATGGAAATTTGGCAAAACATGTAGCACAAAAAACAATTTCCAACTCCCTTGGATTTCCAGTTTACTGGCTGATCATGACATTTTAAGGTGAAACAAAGTTTATCAAAATAAATCCTGCACTATCATTCAGCAGCTTTTAGCTGAGACTCTCAAAGCATCCCATTGGAAGTTGTCCAAATCTCCAGCTGTTAGAAAGTTCAGTTTTGGCTTCAGGGAAACCAAATCAAAACAGCAAATATTTATTGAACATGTCAGTGCACATGGCACTGGCCCTTGATTATATCAGGTACTCAATAAATATTTGTGTTTTAAGAAATTCAGGTCCAGACTAGTTTTGCTGACTTAACAGGAAATATTTCAAATTCCTCCCAAATGGAAAATTAAGATTAAGTAAGGTAAAAAAACGCTTATTTATCCAGAGGAATTGACACCTCCTATGAACAGAAACATTGGGCAAGGGTACTCTCGGGAGGCTGAGCAAGAGTGTTGCATGGGGGTCAAAGCTCGTTAGTTCAGAAGTAGGGATGGTGAAAGAGATCACAGAAGTAGTGGGAAGAGTCCCCTGGAGAGATGAGATGGTTTGAACAGATCTAGAAGCAACAGGAAGAAACTCATGGTAAAGCTAGGGCCAAGAGTGTATTTTTTGGTAAGTCCAGATCAGTTATGTGACTGGTGCCTTACCTATGTCTTCAAAGGGGTCCTCTAGCAAAATTGGACCAAGTCCATTTGAGGGCTGAGGTGGAAATTAGGGTCTAGGAATGAATGTAGCTTGGCAGCTTTTATCCCATCAGGACACTTGGCTGGCTTGAGGCCTCTCCCAGATGGCCGATGCAGAAAACCAATATACTCTGCTTGAGGACAAGTTGTTCTAACTTCAAACAGAACTAGTTTCAGGGATCATGTCTTGGGTGGCTATGGCAGTTCAGCTAACCAGGGAAGGGTGCTGGAGGAAAACCCTTTGAACTGTTCACAGTTACAGGGAGAAACAGGCCAGCCCACCCAGGAGAAGCGGAACAAGTCATGCCCTAGGCCTAAGTGTTCATCAGGTTCCCTAATTTGTTGTTGGACAACACAAGCCTCAGTCGGTTAGACGATAAAGACAAGTGCAAGGACTGAGAAAAATTAGAGGGCACATTTTAGATCAACAACTTGAGCATTTTGGACTCGAGGGGATACGAGGGTGATGATAAACTGAGGTAACCATAGGTTTAGTATTTTCAAGGGCTTTGATCAAGGGAACCATGGGGAAGCAGCTGACTTTGGTGGACCCATTTGGATGTTTAGTAACGATGGCCATGCTTGTGCCTGCCATCTGTTCGCAAATTAACTGCAATTAACCAGTCCCAGGAATTCTTTCCCTCCTGTTCATCCCCACTGTCCTCGTTATTTCTTCAAAGTCTGTTGCAACAAACTCTTAACTGGGCTTTCTGCCTCGGGCCTTATTTCACTTCAAAACAGAATAATCACATCACTACCTGGCTTAAAGATCTTTACTAGTTTTTAATTGTTGAAGGATAAAATCCAAATGTCTCAGAATGGTATACAGCTTTTCAACCTAACTTTTCTAGCTATACCCAACTCCTTAAAGTTCCACAAAAGGGCCACATTCTTTTATGATTGTACATGTGTTCCCATGCTCCATTGGAATCTCCACTCCCCACCTTGTTCATGATGTAATCCTTCTATACCTTTCAGGCTCAACTTTTCCAATGTAAAAACTTCCCTGAATCACCTTGCTCCTAGGTCTATACCTTTTCCTCAGTCTTCAGGTAGTGCTAATTACATCTCACTCATTTCACTATAATTCAAATCAGAAACAGGACCTTTCTGCTTCTAAAATTGCCTGTCATATGGAAACGTACTACTCAAAAGTGTGCTCTTTGGTCAAACAGCACTGGCATCACCTGGGAGCACATTAGATACTTGCGGGCCCCACCCCAGACCTGCTGAAAAAGTAACTGCACTTTTACAAGAGCCCCAGGTAAATTACATCCTCACTGAAGTTTGAGAAGCTGTGACAGAAGTGTTTCTCAGTAAATGTAAATAAAGAGGCACAAATCTGATCCCTTCATTCCACTGCTTACCACCCTTCCTCACATTCCCTTTACTTTCAAATAAAATCCAAACACTTTTGCATGGTCTACAGGCCTCTAATGATCTGGCTCTTCCTCATCTCAAGCCGCTGTCTCACTCCCTATACTCGAGCCTCACTGACCTTCCAGTTTCCGCACTTCGGGCACTTTCTTCCCTGAATTCACACATCCTATTTTCTCTGACTAGGAGCCTCTTGTCTCCGACACCCTTCTTGTCCCCACTTCCCCCTCCATGATTCTTCATGTCTTACCTCAACGCACCTTCCTCAGGAAAACCTGACCAGCCAGGCAAGGTTAAGGTTCCTTGCTCTTCTCTTTTGAGGACAATTGTGGTTAAATAATTCTTTGGTAATTCTGTTCAGTGTTTTGTCATTGATTGTTAACTATTCTAAAATGGTGTACTTGCCAAGTTCCATAATTAGAGATCTTTGAAGGTAGAGACAGTATTTTCTCTTTGTCCTTTACAGTGTTGTGAATATGAAGAGTACTCAATAAATTATTTTAGTAAATACTGTAGTGGGTGCTCAGTGAGTAGTTAATAAGTTCACTTTTTATATGCTAGGTTTCCAAAGCAAGGGGATTTACTAACTGATCATTACAGATTAGCTGGTTACTGGGACTGAAGCACTAAAGCACACAAGAACCAAATTAGTCTATGTGAGGTTCAGCCTAGAGGGTCAGAAAGTACCCTACTGCTTGTGAACAGAGTAATCCTAAGTAAGTGATAAAGACATCAGGTCTGGTTTATAAAATTCCCACTCTAGGTTTCATAATCATTCAGGGATGGCTGCAGTGGTTACCATATCTCATAACCTCTGAATTCTTTACTATGGTCCCTTCCCTTGAGGGTCCCTTGAGGTCAGATATGGTACCAATGGACACTTAGTTGCTAATTTTTCATAGGAGTAAATATTCTTCATGGGTAATGCGTATTACTTTTCTTTTAAAAATATTTAGATGTTATTTTAAAAAATAAGGACATTTTTCTTACATAACCATGTTGCTATTAACACAATAAAAATGTCATTGTTTTACATTAGTATCTAATACCAATACTTAATCAAATTTCCCTAATTGTATAAAAATACCTTTGTATATTTGGTTTGTTGGAATCAGGATCCAAAGTTCACATGCTCCATTTGATTCCTGTATTTCTTCTGATCTAGAATAATCCCTCCCCTTCGCTTTTTTCTTCTTCATGCCATTGAGATTTTGAGTAAAGTATGATCACTGAGACAATAAGCTTACATTTACCCTCTAACTGCCAGAAATGACTAATGGGTGGGAATTTCAGGACAATTAGGAGATCAGTAGGAATGGAAAGACAAGAAATATTTTTCATCAGGAAGATAACCCAGAGGAAGACCGTTTTGCTTAAGGATAAAGATGGACCTGATTCCTAATGTGCAATTGCTATATAACACATGAAGGAATCTGGACTATAGTGTATTTAAGGCTGGACTAATTCCTGTAATTTCTACACAAAATTGGCTACTTTCAAATACATGTTTGTTTGTGCAAATTAGCCAATTCTTAATTTTTCACCTAAAAAAACCGCCATACAAAAGGTATAAAATAATCCCAATGTTAGAATAAAGTGGCACAGACTCATTTACAAAAAAGACTACACATTTCTCCTCATTAATTTATCATTTAATATAAATGCTGACAGAAAGCAGATAAAGACCTTGTAGACACTTTCATATATTTACAATCCAAAAGGTGAATCACCTCCTTCTACTTGTTAAAATAAATCCTTTTATCTGCAACTCATGGGAGCCTTAAACACTAAATAGGAGCAACATGAGGTTGAGTCAGTTTCCAAGGTAACAGAGAAAAGAAATAGCATTTTAACAAAATGTGGCATCTCTGACATAAACAACATGTACACAAATAATACAGAATTGAAAAAGATGGCCCTAATCCTCTCAAGAATCTGCAACAAGTGGAACATGTACTTATTCAGAGCCAGAGTTCTGCTGCCCTAAAAACTGTCCTACTATTATTTCTTTTCCACCTCACTTGTTTTGAAGACTGCTTTAAAACTGGAAATATTAAACAGATTTAAAAGGACAGGAAAACGGTCCAATTCAAACAGGGTTATTTCTCCTATTCCAAAAGTACTGTCATGAGATAAAGTCTTCAAATAAAATTTCACAGCTTGCCAGACGCTAAGGTATTATTCACAGCTTGTGAGATTCCAACCCATTATCTATGTCTTTATTATTTTTTTTTTAAGTTGGAAACACTTGGGAAAAGTAAAATTTCACAAAATTCAGCAAATTAAAAATCAGTGTCACTTTAAGGCTCAATATTTTTTATTTCTGAGCAGGTAAGTAGAGGCAGACAAGAAAGAATAGGGAGCTGAGGCAATTAAAAAAAGCGGAATGCAAGAAAACTTTTTTTAAAAATGGTATTTTTTCTAGCACTGATTTATAAGAACTTCTGAGCAGGTAAGTAGAGGCAGACAAGAAAGAATAGGGAGCTGAGGCAATTAAAAAAAGCAGAATGCAAGAAAACTTTTTTTAAAAATGGTATTTTTTCTAGCACTGATTTATAAGAATAGGAGATATGAATTCTCATTATCCAAAACTATAAGTGATTTCATAAAGTCACTTATAACCTGACTCAAATCTCATGGGCTCCTTTATTAACCTAAATTATTTTTGCCTTGTTAAATATACCTCTGCAGGGCACAATCACATACAATCAATACGATTGGTAAATTACACAAGCTCTATCCCAAGCAAATATGCATCAATGTTAAAAAGTTATTTTCTTAAAAAACAAACAAAATAAAACAAAATAAAATCCACCCAAAAAGGTGATAATGACTGCAGAATGTCTCCGGGAGACTGGTATGAGCCTAAAGACCAAACTGACCGTAGTCAGGGGAAAAAGGTGGCAGGGGAACAAGGGGAGAAGACCACACACGAAGAGGAATCTCACAACTGGAAAATGTTTAAGTGGGTGAAAGGTTTTGTTCATTACCTTAATTTATTTTTTCCATTGCTTTTGTTCCAGAGGCACAGATTCATCATAAATAAGATAATGAGGCCCATAAACTAAAAAATAAAGTGAAAAAAAATTTTTTTTCTCAAGTTCCTCTCATTCCCAGAAGGTGGGAAGAGGAGAAAGGATAAAAGGGGGAGAAACATGAAAATTTATACAATAAATCTGGAAAAAATAACTCTCAGGACAGTGTTTTTGTTGAACAGAGGATGTAAAACTGATAAGCAAAAGCTTTAAATGCCTTTAAATCAGAGGAATATTTTACAGGGTGGTTCAGATATTATTGTGAGAATGGTAGCCACTCAATGGAGAGCGATTACACTAATAAAATGGGGATTTAAAAAAATCAGCCCCCCCCCCCCAAAAAATCAGGCAACCAATTATCCACCCAATAGTTTGTTTCCATCGTTTTCTTGACCCTTTCATACACTTACTGGGGTGGGGACAGGGGGACACCTGACAGTTTCCAGTTATAAGATGACTCTGAGTGTACAACCTAAAATGGATGCCAAAGACTTGTGAGCTCTGTCTGCCAGGGGTTTAAAAAACAAAAACAAACAAAAGAAAACCAACCAGAAACAGTGAGACCTCAATATAAGGAAAGAAGTCACCTTATCTAGTATATAATATACATTAGGATAGCAAACTCCACAGGATTTTATTTTTCTAAACACATTTTTGGACACAATACTGTCTCGAGGTTTAAGTCCTCCCCCTTGGGTTATTGTGCCTTATTTTCTTGTGAAAATAAAGGTTGTTGCTCTAGAAACGTTTTGCAAAGGGATAAAGTTTAGGGGAAATTCAGTGTTTGGCTAAAAATCTAGAGGCTCTGAAAACAAGGATTCCAGTGGTGAGGAAAACCCCTTCATCACAGCAGGATTTTAAAGGGCTCTTTATTCACTTTGTTCAGTGCAGTATTGAAAACCTACCTATTGGGAGCACATTTATTACCAAAAAGTGTTACTTATTCCTGGTGGTGGCAGTCTCTTATTCTTCATTAACATTATAGCTAGTACAACTTATCAATTAGAACCTATCACCAGTGAAAACATCTTTAGCAATCACAGAAATAAAATCTTAAAAATCCAGATCTTAAGTTATTTACTACAATTAAGAGTACCTTTTGACAAAAACAGCTTTCTCTTTTAAATGGCTAAGAAAAGCTGAACTGAGAATTTTTAAAATATTAACTGCAATCCATCTACAACTCCCAATAAGTCATTTCAGCAGGAAAATTTCATAAAGCTGAGCTGAAGCAACAAATAAATATTAAAATCATAGCTGTCCAAGGTAGGAAGGTATGAATGTGGACCAGCAAAA